CAACAGTAAGATCTGTAATCAATCCCCTCCAACCACTGCTTAGAGATCACAAGAGGAGAGAGAATTCAGGTGTGGGTACAAAATTTAACATGCTCTCTCCAAAATACTCGTACAATAGAGGCAACAAGTTTCCAGTGTCAAATTCCTCCTTCCAAGCCTGTTGAAGAACAGCTGATGATTTATGCCCTTGACTAGCAACCCCATCCCTTCTTGCACTGATTCCTCTGACATTTTCATTCGAGAAAGTTTTTGAGATTGACGGAAAACTAGAATCCGTAACCTGAATATTTGCAGCATATCCACCACTAGTGCCTGACATGTCTACCGGCACTGAGTTTGCCGTCAAAGAACCCATTGGACCTTTGGTTGCCAATTTTTTAAGTGGTGGCTGCTGCATCATGTTGTCCACAGTAGCTTTACGTTTACCTGGCCACGTTTAAAAGGGAAACGTATGATAATGATCATAAATAATTAACAATAATACCTCAATTATGACTTTTGTTTAGAGAATGAACAGAAGCAACACCCCTCTAGCTATCTCGCTTATATACAGATCAAGTAAAACTAAGTATGTGTTTGCTATCTCTGTTCTAAAAATACCAAAATGGAAGACAGTAAAAACCTAGTCCTCACTTGGAATTTTAGTGATGACTTTTGGGTTGCTCCTTGACATGGCACGTAGAGGCGGCAGAAGGGTAGGAAGCTTTTTAAGCCGATTGTACATGCACAGACCAACTGCACGCTGTGAAGTTCAGTGCCTGGTCAGTTGGCAGCAATTGTGCTGAAACTTGAACCAGTATATATTATATAACTAAATTTGGGACATCTGCCAGTGGACCCTGCCTTCGCAATTCTAGTATGAAACTAAACCTCATGCCAGCAGCAAATTAAAACTCAATGGATGAAAACCTTACTATTAAAGCTCCATAGACATGCCAGGCTGCCAGCCTGTTCATCCCATTCTTTTGCTTTTCCAGCAGCATTTCTGGCTCTAAAAGCCGCAAATAGGGCTCAAGGTTGGGTAGCACAAGCAAACGGACCTAACCAAAGCCAAGAAGCATCAACAATTTGCCAGCACCACATAGATGGTACTTGCATAATACTGACAGATAATCAAAGAAGGATAAGAGGATGCAATAACAACGTTCTACCACGCTAGGTCCAAGGGCTGCCAACCCTTGAATTGCACCAAAATGTTGAGGCAGTGCTTTTGTCGGATCTAAGAAGGTGTGAACCAATGTCCTTGTCACCCGTGGCTGGAGATTGTGATAAACGTGACCATACCTGCAAGACTTAACTTTCAAGGCACTAAAAAGTGTCTTAAGTTTTTTTTTTTAAAAAAAAAAGATTTTCACATGTGCTTCGGGGGACCATTCAAGAACAAGCAGCCACAAAGCATGTCGGAAAGAGGTAGATCAACCTATACACACAATCAACACAATGAAAAACTGAATCCTAACTAATGCAGATCCTAGCATGTCTCGTGCACTACAAAGTTACCTGCAAACAGAGCTAAAACTTCATAAGGTACATGGTACTAGTGAGTATTAAAGTCTCATTCACCATTCTGTGCTTCCACAAGTTGCTGTTTGGAACTATTTTATGATTATAAAATAAAATAACAATAAAAGAAAAGAAAACTAGAATGGAGATCTATCTAGCCAAAATTGTGCACCTGAAAGGGAAAGTTCTCAATTAGATATCAAGCATACACCTGTACCTCCATTCACTCATACAGACGCAATAGTGTAAGCCAATAAAGAGAAGAATCACCTCTTGCATATTAAGGCAACCAGGTCAGCAGTGAAGTTTCTCAGCTCCCAGTGATTATCTGAAAACTTATTCCCCAACTTTTTTGCCACTAGACATGTCATTACAGATGGCATTAATTGGTGCAGCTGAAATGCATAAACACAGAAGCACAATTGATGAGGAAACACTTTATGTGCAAGACTAGTCAATTTATTAAATCAAGGAGAAATCTAAAAACATCATTGAGGTATAAGTTGGGGGTAGGAGTATTAAGCCAAGACCCTCACCACTACAAGGCAATTTTTCCTTGATATGTGAAAAACAGTTCAATCAACATTAACTTTTAACCCTAAGTACATCAAGCTTTAGCAGCCATAGACTGTCCTACTTACATATGGCTCAATGTGGATATGAGGATTCTGCAGGAGGCTCCAGACAAGCCGCATCAAACCAATAAGTTGATAAGAATTATTTAAATTCCTGGAAACCTGATATCATTGAGAATACTATTATCCAAAAAAGCCAGTTGCAATGTTAGATGAACCACGTGACCATTGAGTAAGAATTACCTCGTCAGCAATAAAATATGCAAAGTAAGGAACTAAAGGGTGCAGCCCTGAGTCAGTTGCCAAGCTCACTAGTGCCTCTTTAAAGAGAATGGAGCTAGATCTACTTACAGTAAGCTCAGTAATTTTCTCAAAGTAAAGCTGCAACAGCACCCAAAAACAGATTCATAAAATTTCAAGCTGACAAAAGAAGCCAAACAGCGAAAATCATTGACAATACCTGCAGTTCACGAGACAATACATGCTTCACAGGTAATTTAACATCAACAGAAACACCGTCTTCTCTGTACTCAGCCTTTCTGTTGTCAGATTTCACTGCAAGTGCAACAAAAGAGGAATTTGAGAATCCACGTAAACATGACTAAATTCTTTTGAATTCAAAGAAAAAAGTTCACTGAGTCATCGACAGAGAGCAGTGTCAAAATTTGGTAACCAAAAACCAAAAAAAGAAACCATGAAGACAGACATTGGTCTGAGGCTAGTGACCTTCATGGAACTTTTCGGACCTAATACTCCTTACTCACCAAACCCCTCTACTAGTTTTCTACTAGTTTCACACCATCCTACCTATACCTCTAGACTCTGCATGCAAGTACATATATATCTGATCCATCCTCTCCTCTCAGCATGTCAAATGCAAGAGAAATTCCCTTGTTCTCTCTGATCTATTCCACTGTTCAAGAAATTTAAGACCTGAAGTTAATCTGAAAACCACCATTTCCGTTACTTCTTATTGCATCTCCAGGACGAGACATACACAGCAGATGATTACAAATGTCTTCTTTTTATAGTTATATGCAGTACTCAAATACATTCTTCCTTCTGTAATTTGACCATGCAACCAATTGTTGACATGAGCTGGTTTTCAGTTTATGAACCATTGAGCTTTCACAGTGCCTGAATTCAGCTTAGTCGGACACTGAATTCAAAATACTACGGCATAATTTTCCCTTCTGTTTTTCTCACCTCAAATGTTGAGTGCAGGCTAAAGCAGCTTGCAGAGACAAATACAATGCATCTAGAAGAAAAAAGAAGCTGCATCTACAATTTTATCACGGAATGTATGTTAGTTAATGTAGGCAAATAAGTCAAGGTGGACACCTTCAAGAGTTGCATTCTCTGGAATAGCCGGTTGAACTCCTTCGATAGCTAACCAATGAGCAACAAGTGTGGTCTCTAATGGCGCTTTCGGTAAAGGAGCATCAATTACCTAATAAGTCAACCAAATTTTAGTAATTGAACAACCGATTCGAACCATAAAACAGGACAAGGGAAAAAAGAGAGGGGGGGGGGGGACTCGTAACTACTTACATCTTTGAATTCAACATCTTTGTCACGAATGTAATACAAATTGTTGTGCCCAGCAGCATTTTTAAACCGCAATGGATCTCCTGAAGCAAACCCATGTATAGGCTGATACAGAACCCACATTATTCAACTTGCAAAACCCACAACCAAAATGGGAAAAAAAAAAAACTTTTCAACTTTCCAACAGGCAAACTAGACTTATTCTTCACAAGCAGTTTCATTTAGCTCAACCCAGAAGAATCTTATTCCACTTCGCATAATTTATGCATTCAGCTAAGCCCAGAAAGATACGAGCATATATATATATATATATATATATATATATCTGTCATGTAAAAATAAATTAAGATAGATACCTCAACATTTCGTAAGCCAAGGGCACTGTCCACATCTTCAGAAGTCAAAGTAGTTCTTTTGGAGTGGCGCATGCATTTGATAGCCTCCTGTAAATTCCCACCAATATATATATATATATATGGAAAATTTTCAATTTCAAAGTAATGATTGAGCAAAATTTCGAGATTGATTGGAGTAAGATGTAATTAGATATCACCTGCATAATCTCGCGAACGCGGAACTCCACATCGGAAGCGAGATCAGGCAAGACTTCCGGGGCTAAATTATTGATTCCTAAGCTTTGTGAAATTACTTCAATTGATTCCTGCGGCACTGTGCTCATTGTTGTAGCCGTGTTTTCTTGAAAATCTTACAATTTTATTTACATTAAAGAATTACCGCTACGGCTACCGCTACTACTACAGCTTCACTGCGCGTAACTCTCTCTCCAGTTTTCTTTCTTTTTAAGAAATTTTTGTCGCCAGATTCTCCGATTCCTTGGGGGGCTTTTATAGCCGTGAGAAGAAGCAGAGAGGGTAGAGAGAACATGTCAATGCTGTTTACGAAACGACGACGTCCACTGGTTGTACGCTCAGAAGAGAACCACAATCATTTTCCGTTGCGCGCATTTTTTTTTTTTCACTCGTATTTCCCCCCATTTGGTATTTAAGGAAAGTACCTTCGTTCCGTCGAAGCTCTAATGTGGCAAATAAAGCTCCCTTCCAGTCCCGTTAATTGTCCTTTATTATTGAAAATGGGATTGAGGGTTTATTGCCAAAAAAAAAAACAAAAAATTGTTATTTGAGTTCCATTTTTTTGTTACCATCATTTATTCTTTCATGTAAAATCTAATAAGTAAGTAAAAATTGTATAATTAAAATGAAAACTAATATAATGAACGTGCTAATAACATTTCCTTTCTTGGCCGCAAAATAAAAGAGTCGGCGAAGAATCGGGGGGTGGATTTTCAACGTCAAAGAAAAGCGGCAAGTGCACCGGGCTTCGTTTCGAGGCTAGAAAACAAATTGCATTCTCAACTTGTCGCACAAAAAAAAATACTACCGGAACATCCAAATGCGTTTTACAACGAAAAATTAAAAGTTGATTCACACTTTTTTGAGTCACCTTTCCAAGACACACAAATGCAAAGAAATGCATCTTCCGTTTTCATTCTTTTTTTTTTTTTTTATGTTTTACAAATATTTAACCAGTAGATATATTACAGCAACCAGAACCACAATGCCGATGACGGATAAAAGCAGGCACATGCAGGAGCAACCACCCTTGGTTTTTTTGTTCAAAATTGCAAGCCGCTTCTGCACTCGCTGTTTTCAGACATGATTTACAACCCCAAAAAAAAAAAAAAAAAAGGTTATAAAGACATACACAAAATCAAATTCAATTACGTAAATCTCTTGGCTCCGGAAAGCAATTAAGCACAATAATCCCAGACCAAGATCGTTCCCATCATGCGATGCAGTTTCTTCGCACAGAGGAAATAATCCAGATATAATCAAACAAGTCTCGGCGAAACATGAATAACAGTCACAAAAAGGGGACTAGCAAAAGATGTAAACCTTATTTCAGGAAATCTTAGATGAGATTTTAATCAGCATATCCATGTCTACAGTCTACACCAACAGTGGCTACATTTATCTCTTCTAATTTTCTTCTATATTTGACCATCAGTAGCCAAAGCTAACTCGGACCCCTACGATCTTAATTCCTCCAACTTTATATCAACCATTTCCAGAATAACAAATAAAAATATTATGTCAGCATATATTAACTCTCACAAAAACTGCAACGCTTTCATGAAGAAATTCTAGTTCAGCAAACCTTGACTTCTAAAGGTAAATGAACATTTTCCCATAAAATTTGTTTTTTTTTTTATCACTCTCCGGTGCTTTCTAATCGATCACAAAATACAAATGTAAACCAGGGGGAAGCCTTACTTTCTGCATCAAGTTCCACCAAAGAAGGTTGATATGCACACAACATTATTTCAGAATTTCACGGAAATATCTTAGCGAATGAATATGCAGTTATGCACTTTATCATATGCATGCGCTTAATAATACAAAACGTGCTCCCCCATCAATGAGTCTGCTTTTGCAGCATGTCAACAAACTTGTTCTAAGCCAGGAATTTCAGGAGTCTCTTACCTGTAAGCGGGAATCAGTGACATCCACATGTTCGTCCAGGTTATCCTACAAAGGATGACTAAATTAGTCCAAAGAAATGTATGAAGCTTGTAACCTCAGTTCAATCAATTTTGTATTTAGAAGATGACAGAAAGAAAGAAAGAAAGAAATAATTGATCTACCAATGGTTCGCAATAACTTAGGCCTATAAAAATGAATCAGAAATAACAAAATGCATACAATTAGTCTAGTGTGTAGATCAAGTTCTTCATTGACTGCCAATGCAATGTGTTTGGTGCTTATAACTGTCTCCTCCAACTTCTCCAGGCCCTCATCTTGCTCTGTTGAAACCAATGAAGTAGCCCATGATGGTGAGAAAGCCTATATCCAGATACTTTCTGTGCATGTGTTGGGGGGAAGGAGGGAAGAGGATGTCTCATTTTGACAAAACGTAAAAGAACGTGCCTTTCATGACTTGTCGTTGAAGACCAACAACACCATAGTTGTCAAGACCTTTTGCTCTGGTCATGGCATCAACAGGCTTAATCTCAGGCCCAAGCAAGCTGTCCCTATTGGCAAAGTTTGACATGTTCAATGTGGAGGCCATCTGGTTTACTTTTGATCTCAAATTTGCAAGCATATCTTTGCGGCGATTCATTTCTTTCTCTGTCCTGCAAACCAAAAGGCACATTTGTCAAACACTTGAAGAAAACAGCCGCTGTATTTCCTTTTTTTAATATCCAAAGGGAGACTTCAAACCTTAAAAAGTCGAACCTAGGACCTCACAGTCACTTGGCTAATGTCCCTACCAGCTAAGCTAGGTCTTGGGTACAGCCACTGTATTTCTTTCACTGAATGCCCACAACTCAGTAAGTTTTGTATTTTCTCAAAAGTCAAGCAGCTAGAGAACTAGCATTTCCATTCATTCACAGCACTCTCTCATATTGACAGATTTTGCTATTCATCCAGATGTTCTTGGTTATCCGAGTTGAATTGCAGAGTATTCTTTAAATTTCATAAGGTTATCTAAATCAACGTGGCCACGGCATTCTTAAACTACTAAAAAAAAAAATATCTATCACTGTCAGGATACTTTGTCTTTTGGCATGAACTTAATCAGCATGCATAGGAGGCTTCCGAGCCAAGTAGAATGTGCAGAGCTGCTAAGCGCTGCAAAGTTAGTTTCACAAAGGAAATTAAATTTCCAACTAAGAAATTATGACCTGAACCATTGTGACACAAAGACAAAAAACGAAGATGGCAGATATTAAGACTACCTTTTCCTAACAAATTTGAGCCATGTTGACAGAAATCTCCGTCATCTACAACTATTACATCTTGTGTTAAATTGGTAGGACACTAGGAATTTGTACAACCTCCCCAGCAATGGAGCAAATCAACAAGAAAAAGCTCTTCACAAGTAGAAAATCATAGCCAATCCCAGAGGACACAACCAAGATATGCTCATCACCTTCAGCACTTCAAACACTGACACACTAATCATAAATTACCATCATTCCATATGCCCCCTTCAAATGGAATATATGCAACAAGTGCTACAAACTAGCTTCTCCAGAGCAGATTGTTAATTGTAAACTACAGAGCTCATGATACTGAAACTTGTCTAATACCAATATCCACATAAAAGGATAACTTATACAAGAAACTTACAGCTGCTTTCCAGGAAGCCTTGAAAGAAGAGATTGTAGGCTCTCAAGTCTAGTGGACAATATCGTGATTTTCCTTCGTATGGCAGATGCATGACGCTGGGCCTCTGGCCCTGTTGCAGGCAATGAATTCCTCTCTGAAATCATGTTAGTTATGTCATCAGCGAGTTTGACCGCTTCATTGTACTCCTTCACCCACGGGTCTCCAGAAGACGCCATGGATCTGAAAAAACCACATTCATAACATAATCATGAGAGGGCGACATGCTTAGGTATTCCACCAAAAGAAAATCAGAAACCTTTCCAATTACATGTTTCTTTTAAAAGGTGTACAACCAAAAAATTTCAACATTTGTCAGCCAGAAATACTGGACCATCATTATAATCCGATAAACCTCAGACATTATCAAACCCAAACCCCAAATTCACAACCTCACTGAAAAGATAACAATAGACCACTGACCAGCAAAATTAACACTAACTGTTCAATGAAGTGACTAGTTAACCTTAAAATGATCTCAAGCTAGACAACAATGATCCTTAGGTCCCACGATCCATGTATCAAGCTAAAAGGAAATAAGGTAAAGAGTAAGCAAAGATCAAGTACCAGCAGCTAAAATTCGTATGCACTGGGAATTAAAAAAATAATAAAAACCGTTACGCCTTTCTTTATTTACCAAAACCCAAAAGAATAAATATATATATATATATATATAAATAAATTATCCATCCTGTAAAATATTCGACTCCTGCAAGTGAAAAGAATCATCAAACAACAATTTAATGAAAAATAATAAAATACGGCTTAATTTCAGTCATCGGGAAAAAAATCAAAAGAAATCAGATTAGGTCAACCAGGCAGGATAGCAAAAACGGGAATCGTAGAAGACAATAGTAATTACACAGAAGATAATAGAATACAAACTTTAAAGAATTTGATCTAATTTACCTGTTTAATAGAAATGGGCGATCTCAATTGAATCCCTGCGATGAGGTAAGGGAAAGAAGAAAAAGAGAAATACTAAGAAATAGAGTCGCTGATGAGGCTAGTTTGACTTGGAATTCTGAACGTGGGAGATGGGAGAAGTTAAAGGGGCTGATGGGCCAAAGACGCCCGCTGCCCAAAATCACCGGCAATGATTGTCCGGCCTCCTCGTCGTCTTCATCGTCACACGCATTCAGACAATTATATACTTCCTATTTTAATTGTCATCATGTCTTCCCACCACTTTATTATTACGGTGTTTTGTAGCCAGAGCGGATTCTTTCCTACCAGAGCAAAATTAGTTCGAATTGCCAATTTTGTCCTTTACAAATTTTGGGATATAAAATAACTAAATTGATGCTCAACTTTATTATATAACAGTGTATGATATTCAGGCTTTTAATTTTTTGTCTCGTTAAATAGTTCGAATTGTATTAGACTTGGTTGTATTTTTTGTCAGGTTGGATTGGGTCTTTTTATTATCAAGCTGTTTGAATAATTTATTTGTCTATTTCAACAAGGTTTTACGTCATTGAACAAAGCTAGATATTAAAAAGTTTCGATGAGGTCTTGATTTAGTAATTAAAATTAAAACTTCAATGATTCAAGATCTTGGTTTAATTGCCCCCTTTCCCCTATCTTCTCCTGTGCTTAAAAATTTGTTTATTTCGTTTACCCAAGCATCTCAATAGATTAACTTGATTTAACTTTAAAACCTATTTATAATAAGTTTGAACGAGATAATTTCATAAAACTCCTTTTGAAATTACAGTAGTTGATATATATCACTAGATTCACTACTAATGTTGGAGAAATTTAAAAATCGGTATATTTTTATGGTTTTATTTTCCATATGACTTGGCGAAGATATTACAGCCTTCTTTATTTGATTTTTTGAAAATTAATGTGGAAGTCTATGGGGAGGGTTCGTTGTTAGTAATGGATAAGAGGAAAAAATGGAAATATAAGTAGTCAAGCTAATTTTGCACTTTACAAAGACAAATATATAATTGAAAAATAATATTGACCCGGAAAAAGTTAGATTTGATGATAAGGATTGGAACAATTACAAGTAGGAGATTTTGAATTTAATAACTTCCACTTATAGAAAATTAAATAAAAAAGCTCCGGAGGAAGTCTCAAGCAAAAGTGTTGAACTATTAAAATAGGATTAGGAGATGAACAGAACTTTCTGGAAGAAAATTGTAATTTTGAAAAGTAATTGGGGTCAACATTGATGTAGTCAGAAAAAATTGTAATTTTGAAAAGTAAGTAGGGTCAACATTGAATCCATTGATTGAGTCAGATGTAGGCGTGGCAGGCCGCACGCGTCAATTGGTTTTTAATAGGCGTATTTAATATTTTACTCCTCGTATTTTAGAGTAATTACATTACATGCGTGCCTCCTTTCCCATCATTTATCAATATTAGTGATTAACGAACATGTGTGCGTAAATAATAAACACACATTAATTTATTAAAAAAAAAGTTTCATACGACACATGTCCATACACATATAGTGACAATTATATAAATTTTGAATTTGAACTCCAACTTTTGTACATGTGTTATAAATTCAACGGTGATAGTATATAATCTGACAGTATATATAAGATTTGCTTTTGATTTTACCCTATAAAAGTTACTTTATTATATAATTTTTTGAAAAATATAAAGGTTAATTGGTAGTTATCTACAATTATAGATACCTATTAACATCAATTTAAAAGTGTAAAACTAAAAAAGGAAGATAATTGTTTAAATATGATTGGTCCATTTTTTCCTTTTTTTTAAGGGTAAGTTTTTTTTTATACACTATCAGCATATATATTTTTTATAACAGTGAGTTTAGATCATACTACATAATATAAATTTAAATTTGAAATTCAAATTATGTACATATGTCATGCATTCATAGTTGCCATAATATAAAGGGTTAATCACACTTTATCCCCTTTAAATATAGGTCGTTTTTCACTTTACCCCCCCAACGTTTGTTTTTCCTCAGTCTATCCCAAAAACTAACAGTCAACTCTAATGGGGATAAACAGAATATTGAAAAGACAGTAATATCCTTATGAAAATAATGAACAACCTAAAATACCCATATATGCTGGTTTATGAAATATAAGTTTCCAAAATTACCCTGGAATAATGGAGGGAAATTTCTCTCCATCTGGCATGGGGAAAAAAAAAAAGAAATTAGGGAACACAAAAGGGAACAGACAAAAGGTTCCCTTTTGTCAGTGTCGGGTCACCTTCTGTTCCCTTTTGCCATTGTCAGTCACTCAATCTTTCGCTTGGTTGAATCCTTAGCAAAACCTTCATTAAAAAACTTGAAAATTCACTAGCATCTTCAATGGAAAAAACGGGTAATCGATGAAGTTGTTAGTAGATGGCAGAATTGAATTTGAAGATTGTGAAAGGAGATTATGAGAGCTTGGGCAGCCCTTAAGGTTCAATTTTGCAATTTTTTCTCGATTTTAGAAATTTCTAATTTTTTGAATTCTCAGCTTACACAGCAAGGAAATTGGCCCAGAGGATATCAGAGTCCAGACGAAAAGATGAAAATTGCAGAAGGAGCGGTCATCATGCCAGGCAGATTGTGAAGCAAGTGAAAGATAGGGTAAGCAGAAAAGTAGGGCTCGACATCACCAACATAGTCATAAGCAGGGAGGTGCAGACAAGGGATGATGACGAACACGTTGTTCTTCTCAAACCCAACAAACCATCTAATAATAATAACAACAAGGTGGCCTTAACAAAAGTACCAGTTGGCGATGATTCTAGCCAAGTCAAGCAATCAACACCATCTTGCTCTCCGAGGCTCTCGGAATATTATTATTATTATTATCCCAAGAACAAGCCCCCAGTTGTCAATAGCACTCAGTCTGCACAACATTCTCCAAGGCTCTCTCAAGTTGCTCCGAGTTTACAAAAGCATTTACCAAATCACCAACAAAACTCCCCGGCAGTCAAGAAATGCAAGAAGGATACCGTTGCCAGCCAGAAATACACCTCTCGTCTGAAAAAGCCTCTGAAAGTTTCCGATGGTATTAGGAACAAAAAGGAAGAGCCATTCATTCGTTTAGCGACCACAAACAAAGGAAACGTCGCAGACAAGAAATATAAGAAGACTCCGCTTTCCCATAACCTTCTCAACTGCAGTATTGCGGCCCCAACCCTCTTACCTATCAAGAAAGACATCCCTTTTCCAGCGACCAAATTAGTATGTGATAAACAGGTAAAAAATAAATAATTAATTACTGCAACAATAAAACCATCTTTGACGTTCTTCTTCTGCTTTAGTTCTCTCTACATATATTTTCTTTTTCTTTTTCTTTTTTAGTTTAAACTTTTGGGGGTCTTCTTACTAAATTTTAGTTTGTCGACTTGTATCATGGGGGCCAAAACATAAAAAATTTTTAAATTTTTAAAAAAAGTCCCAGGCATCTGATGCTGATACGTGGAAAAGGCGCAAACAAAAATTATCTCTAGTTGTTCGAGCCAGTCATACAACAAGAAGCAACAGCAGGAGAAATAGGCGACGCACATACTCACCACCATTATTCAAGAAAACATCAAACACCATTGAGGGGCATTTTTGTCAGCTAAAACTAAGGGCCCTTTTCGTGTGACAATTTCGAAATCTTAAAGTTTTTAATGGTGCAATTGCATAGCTAGATTGACGGAGGGGATAAACTGAGGAAAAACAAACGTTAGGGGGCAAAGTGAGAAATGACCTATACTTAAAGGAGATAAAGTGCGATTAACCCTAATATAAATAGTTAATATTTGTCTTAAGGATAAAAAAAAAAGATATATTACAAGAAAACTATACCATTGTGTGCTTTATATATGACCAATGAGAAAAGCACATCCTAAGGGTGTGCAAATTAAGTAGTTATTTATGAGAATCAATGGAAGTTTTTTTGAAAAAAAAAATTATTGGAAGTGGTAGTTATTAAAAATTATTAAATTTAAATATTTATCTTCAATAAGTCATTATTTTTTGCGAGGATAAATTTGAAAAAATAAAAGATGATACAAATTTTTAACACCAAATGCCCTTTTCATGCTTTATATATAGATACATATAGAAAGATATAGATTAGGTTGCCATAGTTCAATTACATAGGAAGCATTTAATTGATCATAATGCTGGCAGGATTTTAAAAAAAATAAAATAAAATTCCCAAATAGATTTTCATTTTGCTCATATGTACAACTTGATAGCTTATACAACATTGTGGAAGACGCTTATTGTTGCTTTTGTTGAAGAACTAGTTTTGGGTATGATAAGCTCAGCTTAGTTATTTGTCAATTGTCATGTTTGAAGATCGACTGGACAAAAATTTTAATATACCACCCCATAAAATTTCCATAAAAAAATCATCTTCACATAGTGAAAATTAAGATAGGTACATTTGTCAACTCAATTGCTAGTGAAGTATTTATAAAGAAAAATTTAATATGCTTTCCCATTTCATTTGGCTTGACTCTAAGGCGAAGCAAGTCTAAGGAGAGATCTTCAGGGAAGCTCAAAAGTCAGAACCAAGCTTACAAGATCCGGCAGAGGATGCCATTTGACTTCCTAATGTATGATACACTAAAATAGGAACAAAAGAACGACACTGACGGCATGGAAGAACATAGCAATGACAATATGATTATTTCCGATCATAACTAAACAAATGATTTGCGTCTCTCTGAAACAAAGTCAAAATCACAGAAGCGTCAAATTTTAACTGTTGTTGTTCGGAACAAGAAACCAGAGCAACCTGCAATTACACATTTGAACAAAGGGAAAATCAACCCGTTATCTCTTACAAATTACAATGCAAAACAACCAGAGGCCCAAATGTTTTCCGGAGCGAAAAATGCAAAGCACAAACGATGGTCCAGATTTTTGTGAACCTCTCATTCGAAGGCTCGGAACAGATTACAATTAATCTCCACTGATCGCTTCAAATCAGTATCAGCTAATTCAAAAGAAGCCAAATTCCCAAATCACCCCTCTAACAAGCAAGATTAACAAAGAAATCAGACAAAATATTTGCCCTTCACAAAGCTCATACTTACAATTAAACTTGTCTAAAGAATAGTGTTCATGAGATGCATTTACGCTTTATATATATATATATGTTATGATGTATGGAGTATAATAGTGTGAGAATATACGACAACAAGAAGGAGAGATTTAAAGTCTAAACAACACAAAATATAAATAAAAAAGAAAC